TGTAGATAAAAGGAATTGAAAAAATCGCATCATATTAAAATCATCTGATGAAAACTTTATGAGAAAAAAGAATTCTCCAGCAGTTCTCTCAAAATCTTGGAAGCTCTACTTAACCTTAAGCACTATAGGAAAATCATAATGATTAACCACTCACTAAAAGTTTCCATGACAGTGTCACAAGAACATAAATCACTATCTCTTCTAATTACGGAGAACACTTGAAAAAAAAAACAATGGTGTTGAACAGAGATCCAATTATTTGAAGCAATACTCCTGAAAAGGAGCAAAAGCGATTCCGATGGACAATGTCATAGCAATTCACAAAATAATAAGAGAAAGCTTTAATTTGCAGATTCCAATCTATTGCCATTTCCAAGTCTTGTTCGGGGTCTGATGACGTGACGACGATGCACCACCTTTACCTTTCACTGGGGATCCTATGACACCAGCAGGGTTTTCTGATCGGCTGGCGGTTCTTGGTGTGGCTATTGTACTTCGCAATTCCGATGTAGAGACCTTGAGGGAACTTTGAAAAGACTATTTTATGTAGATAATCATGTATCTTAAAGTTACATTCGATGGGCTGTCCCAAAAGCTGCCAACCGGTTGGATAGAATCCATTAGTGCTCGCACACGACGCTCCGCAAGCACTACCTCGAAGACAAAGTGATCAAAAGAATATTCTTGTACAAGTATGATGTTATCAAAACCTTGTCCTCCGGTGATCTGCCTGTTTCGCTGGTTATTTCGTTGGGACACCCCTTAAAAACTACTTTTAACCTCTGGAAAAATGACGGGATGCATTGAAACGTACCGACACAGTTTGGTTCGATGGCTCAGCCATAAACGAACGTTCCGGTGTGGTCTCACGAGAGAACGGAATTGAAGGAATTCCAGGAAGAGGAAGCTGATAATTAAAAAAAGATTGAATCGAGCTCTAAATAACGAAGACAGGCGGTTCATGTGATCCTGATTTATCACTCGCCACCAGATGAGGTTCCATCTGGTCAATCTGCTAAGAACACTGTATACATCTAGTAGGTTGCTTTCTTTGAAAACATCTTCCTTCACAAGGAATCCATACTAAGGTTCTCAAAATCCATCTGCCGTTTGTCCTTTTTGTGACTAATTCGTCGATATTTTACTTTGAAGACGTTTTCTGCTGGATCATGATGGGCCATTAAAGTCATATCCA